GCATTACAGTTTGCAAAGTGCTTTTGTGGCCTACATCATAGAGCGATGTGAGGTAAGCTTCAGCTAAGGATGCTCCACTGCCTCAAAATGGATATGGGATAATGAAGTAGCAGTGGCAAGGGAGGGTGCATATAGGAACCACACAGAAAGCAGATGTTGGGGTTCAGTTAAGGAATCTTTGCTAGGTTCCACTACTTCAAGCTCTCCTTCCATTAAAACATGAGCAGGACCAATCCCTTCTCCTTGGATCAGTGTGACTCAGAGACAGCTCAAGGACAGACAGTCTTAGATGAGTTGAAACTGAACGTTTTATTTTACATACTTTACTAACGGAAAATGCTCTTAAAGGCGATCAAGAGAGCAGTGCAGGGCATAGAGCATTTCCTCACAGTAAAAATGACAACATGCTCCAAAGTCTAAGCCTACTTCGAAGTTGTAGAATTGAATGGAGCTTTGAAAGTAACAACAGGGGCTGTGTACCCAGACCATACAATATGGGCCTCTCCAGATATTTCTTGTAAGGGATCCTGGGGCAATGTTGCTGGTTACAGGATGTAGGCTGCTGGCAAACTCTATGACAAGCGTGGCAAAGGAAGTACAGAGCAGAAAATAAGAATGAAAAAGCAAGTGTTTGTTGTTCAGTCATGTCTGGCTCTTTTGCAAGTCCATGGACTGTAGCCCACCAAGCTCCTCTGTCTATGGAAGTCTCCAGGCAAGAATACTGGAGTAGGTAGCCATTCCCTTCTCAAGGGGGTCTTCTTGACCCAGGGATCAAAGCTGGGTGTCCTACAATAAAGGCAGATTCATTACTGTCTGAGCCACTAGGTAAGCCCCAAATAAGGATGGCAGTCTTCAAAAGTAAGAAAAGAAGGTATTTAGGGGATTCAAGTCAAACAGGGTATGGGTCTACATGTATAAAATACATACTGATCCCAGTTTCAGCTTATTTAGAGGAAGTCATCATTTATACCTACTAGGTAGAAAAAGCATAGCTTCAACCATATTTTAACACTTGAACATATGTGAAAGAAGCAGGAGCAAGACTCAAAATAGAGCACAGTATTTGTAATATATTCATGTACATACATTTATATACATGGACATGCACATGTGTATGTATATATGCACACACACACATATATTTGTAAAACAGAACTTTATGAATTGAAAAGAAAAAATGAATTACGACAAACTAGAAATGTCAATA